ATCACTCCCTCTTCGATCACATTCTCTCCGGTGATGACAACAATCTGTTGTTTCATTTGTTGCATCTGTTGTTGAGATGCCTTCGATGGCCGACCTCTTTGTGGCGGAGGTATTGATGGCGACTATTCAGTAAATCATAAATAATGGTTAATATAAAACACTTATAGCGTATGCCATGAATTTAAAAACCTGAGGAAACGATTTAGTAATCTTTCCAAGAATCTCAGCCTCGAGGCCACACCTCTTCGGCGGCGCGAATTGCATTTCAGTCGGCAAATAGCACTTCAAGTTGTTGTCTGAGGCCGACGCCGACACTACAATACAATTTGCTATTATATTCTCTATTGTTTGCAATTAAAGCATCAAAATTCAAATACCGGTAAAATATTTGGATGGAAGAGACGGCTGAACGGGAAAGTCTTTGAGAAGAAAGTTTTGCGTTTTACTCATAACGAGTCCGAGCGCTAAATCGCAGCCGCAATATATCTTGTAATTAGTCATCGTTGCCATTTGGTTAGTCGTCGGGAAGTTGGGATCCGCTTCTTGCGATTGAGACACGCGATCGACGCAAACCTTTATGTTCTCGAATGTCTTCTTGAAGAATGAGAACGAGTAGTGTTCGTTCTTAAGCACAAGCGGTTCCATTATAAACCAAAGACAGTCTATTCATATCATTGGGTCAATAAAACACATGAAAGATGCATTCAATGCCAGAAACGGTCATCTATTTTACAAACCTTTAATTATCTCGAGTTGTGAGACGTCGTCGTATTTAATGTAAAACGGCATATAAGCCAACAAATGGATGACATAAGGCATCACACAGTCAGGCATTATGCTCTTCATGTTTGCCACTGATTTCGATTTAATCAGTTCTCGTCTTTTGGCCAAATTTAACAACAAATAAGATCTGAACGACAAATACAATTATAAGCAAAATATACTAAAATACACCGTTTGTGAGACGAGACCTCAATTTGGTTTTGAAGGCAACGGTGTCCTCGCCGTTGAAAGTGCCGCCCAAAGAGAGAATGGCTAAGAATTCTCAAATACAATTATAAGCAAAATATACTAAAATACACCGTTTGTGAGACGAGACCTCAATTTGGTTTTGAAGGCAACGGTGTCCTCGCCGTTGAAAGTGCCGCCCAAAGAGAGAATGGCTAAGAATTCGAGTCCTAACGCTAAGGACATCAACCCTTTATGGAGTTTAATGAGAAACTTTTCGCGAACAAACTCTTCGGAATCCAAGAGAACGGTAGCCAATGAATGCCATTGTTCGGCTGACATTATCGATAGAGTGGTCGACGGGTTTTGAAAATTTGAAGTGTTGTCGCCATTGCTCGACACCGAAGTGATGGCGTCGTTGGACGCGATCTTCAGAATGCCGAGAGCGGCCGCCAGTCGTAAGTGAGCCCTTTCTAGTGAAGTTCCGCCCAAATTTTGTTCATTCAAATCACCGCCCGTTGAAAGGATTGTCTTTAAGAGTTTCAGAGTATTTGACGCTGTTTTTTGATATTGTGCTAAATATAAAAAGGTTTAGTATTAGACATAGTCATCAATTAATCCAATTATTAAATGGTTTACCGATCACTTCGTGTTGATTTTCAGGCAAAACTGTTCAAATAAATTGTATTAAAACGATGAAACATTACACAAATAACAAGTCATACAACTAACCAATTAATGTATTGATTTTCATGCCATACAACCATCTGACCATCAATTTGATTGCTTCGATTTTGGCTTTCGCTTCTTCGCTGCAATACTCGTAAGTAATCAAAGGATCCGTGTTTTCTGATTCAATCATAACAATAGTTAAAATATAATAGTGTTTAAGACAAAAGCGCAAACCTCTCTGCCTTTCGCTCTCTTCCAACGCATTGATTTCGTGTTCAGTTTTCATGTCTTTCATAAGCAATCCCTGAACAATGAA